CTCCACACTTCGAGTATCCAGGGGTTAGAACAGACAAGCCCAGTTGGGTGTGATTATGGAAGGGCACTTAATGAGCTTGTGGGACCATGGAAAGCCTGAGTTGATACTCTCTAAATGGTTTCCTGGAGGATGAATCAAAATTAGCCAGTGGAAGCAATGGGGAGGGTGTCCTGATGGAAGCAGCAATGAACAGTGTAAGAGAAGTCATAAGAAGACAGGCGTATGATTTCACTGAGGCACTAGGGCAATCAAACTCAGAAACAGGTAGAATGCTGGTTGTGGGAGGATCCAGGGAGAGGAGAGAGGCACTGGGGTGCAGTTTCAATTTTGCAAGAAAAACAGTTCTGGAGATCTTCCTTACAGCAGTGTAGGCATACATAGCCCTCCTGAACTGTACACAGAATGGTTAAGGTGGTAAGTTTCATGTGATGTATATTCCACTCCAATCAAGAAATTTCTAAACAAAAGACAGAAAGCTGCACGTGGTGCCGCACAGTACGCAGGAACAGAGCAGTCAGAGGCAGGAAAGGACATGGAGTTGGACGAGCTGCCTGGCCTGGCGTGCTCAGGAACCTGGGACAGTCCCCTTTACACTGTGGGAATATTGGAAGACTTCCCTAGTATTCCTCATGGCAGACAAGTCCTCAGAGTTCATGGGAAACGGATTTGCTCTTCGTCCTGTCCCTATTGTCTTGACTGCTGTCTTAGTCATATTCTGACCCCCTTTCATGTGTTCAAGTCTGCCCCTGCTTCCTGCATGTGCGGTAGCGTCAGGGCCTTATGCAGTAAAATGAACTTGAGAGATCATTGAGAACTGATTGACATCCTAGATCTGCACTTAACCAGCTGTGAGGACGTGGTCAGCCAGCTTTACATGTCTTAGAAAAGGGGACAAATACATTACAGCCTTTTTGAGAAATGAATGAGATAATGTATACAAACACGCTCCATACAGGACAAGTGCTAGTCTCTGAAATGCAGTGGCATCATTATCGCAGGCCTCTGCTGTCGGGGCGAGGTTGGCGAGGCCTTGCTGCTACAGAGCCCCTCAGACCTCTGTGGAGTCTAGGCTTCCTTTG